AATTAACTTCTTTCCTACAGACAATGTATGATTTTTACATCGTCCCATTATTTGGCCAGCTTTGGGTTTCACAGACCAACTAGGAAATTGATGTTAAGTATTTGTTTTAAATTCATGTTTTCTTTGGTCAAAAGATTCAAAGAACCAACATGTATACAAAACGCAATAAAAATAAATTATCACCTTCTTTTTCCTGCTTGATCCTGCAGAGAGTGGTATTAGAAGATCAAAAGATGAGGAAAGACTTGTCATGTTGTCTGAAAGAAATAAACAATGAGACCGCTTGGTCAAGGTATTTTTAATTAGGAAACAGTTTTCTCATAAACTTCAAGATTCACATAGTTAGGAACAGCTAAATTTTGCAGTTTTAGCAACTAATAAAATTAGTGACTTCTAATTTTTAGTCTCATTTTGGAGATCAATTTAACTTAATCTTCTGTTACATCAGCAATTTTTATTTTTAGAGGGTGCTTATTTAGAATTAATTGATTTTTCTTGCATTCATGTACGTTGTTAATAAAAAAGTAACTTAAGGGATATGTAAAAACTGGTCTCAATGAAACCTACCACCAGAGAAAAGACACCCATGTTTTCAGAATTGTGAGTGAATGGGTTCTTTGATGTTATGTAACTTCTAACTATGACTATAACATAAGCATATTGAGCACTGAAAATATCTGTTTGTCCTTCTTGTGAACATTAGCAGAACAAGTGTTGCTTTTTACTTTGTTACCCTTTTAATTAAACCTATTAATTAAACAAATTGAAATGAAAACCTACCACAAGAATCAGAACTGCCTGAAGCACCCGAGAGGGTGGATGCTGTCCCAACACTCTTTGATTTCCCAGACATCTTTTTATCCAATAACTGACGCTCACTTTGAAGTTTGCTTAGTGCATCATTTAGTTGTAGAGGTATCTTCTCTGATGCATTGCTCTGTATGACTTTAATGTACACTTTTCCTGGAGGAACTTTATCCAGAATGCCATACACTTTTTCCACTGTTAAACCTTCTAATTTCACATCATTTATTTCAAGGATTTGGTCACCTTGCCTGTTGAGTAAAAAGTCTTGTTACAGTAATTCTCAATAACAAGCTACAGGTAACTCTTTTCAAGGTATCCTCAATTGTTATGGCAACTGTGTGAAAACCAGAAAGTCAGTGAGAGCTTTGCTCTATGCTTACTTGTACAACTGGTATATAAATTTTTCTGTTGGCCAGTAAGTTCCATTTGGTGCTTACTAGACCATACACTGCTGTACACAGACATTTTGACCAGGATGGAGTGTATAAAATTTTACAATGCCTTTACTTCTGCAAAATTCCCAAACCCGCAACTGATTTTTTTCCACATAATTATCTCAGCAAACTACTAACAAAAAAAAACCTGGATCAAAATCTTCTGGTCACAATGGACCAATGTGATGTTTATGCAGCTTTTTGTTCGTAAGTGCCAGTTCTAGTTCAAAGTGAAATAGAACCCCCAAAGAAATTCAATTGGACAACAAACCCACATTAAACAAACAATGAACAAATGAATGAGTGAAGGCCATATGGTTTGTGAGACTGTCTTAAAATGGCATGATTAATTTGTTAAAATTATCTTTCGGTAATAAATGCTGAAAGAAAACTTGTCTATAAAAATACCAAACAACAAACTTTGTGAGAAGAAATCTTCAGACAAAAACTTTCAACATTTGCTCTTATCAAAATAGGCATTTCACCTCAGTCGTCCATCATTAGCTGCTGGGGTCCCTTCAATAATACATTGAACAAAGATGCCTTGTAACTGCTGGCTTGATGGACTGCGTTCTCCTAAACCGATTCCCAAGCTGTTCCCAGGCTCTGAAGAGAAGTGAACATACAGAGGTCTTGCTCAGTCTTATAAAACACAGCTACATTATCAAGTGAACCCAGTTTCTTGAATTCTATATAATAATTCTTAAAAATGTTTTTATTATTCCAACCGAAACCTGAATCATTATTGTTTACATACAACATTATATTTGTTCAGTGAATGAAATTAATAATCACAGCTACATGCATTAACAAAATAAACATAAGTTACACATTATTTAAATTCTTCCACAACTTGATACAAGTAATGTATGTTTATAAATTACTGCATTAGTAACTGTTTTCGCCAACAATTTTTAATTTGGACAGCATGAAATATGTCATTGCAAGAAAATAAATCATGTCACTTGAACGTTCTACATGTATTCCAGCTAGATGGAGATCAACTTTAATATTTGAGAAAACTTTAAATAAATTATATTGTGGTAGAGAAAGACTCTTGGAGAATCTAGCACAAATTCACATTTTACTTTTTAACACAGAGAAGCGTTCACGTTTATAGCTCCAAAGTTGTCATCAGAATTGTTTAATTTAAACTTTGAACCCCTATTCTCTTAGTAGTTGATAGTTATGAAAAATATTATTAATCATTAGAGATTATCAGAACTTTAAGCTATTGTTCAATAAAACACCATCACAAAGCCAGAATAGTACTTATTGTAAAATTAGTCCTTGCAGAAATCTACAGACACTAAAAGGGTGATTTAAATATGCTTCGCTATTATAGTCATAACTAGACATTCATTGATATCAGACCAAAATAAATCTAAATCTATATAGTAAAATTTATTATCATAACAAACCAGGAGAACAAATTGACTTGATGTTAAAATGTTAAGCAAGTTAACTTATAACAAGATCAAACATAAACACAATTTTAGTTGACGTCGGATTGATCATATATCAAAATTAATCTACAGAAATTAAAGTAAATTATACATCAAATAAATTTAAAGTCACACCTTTATATAACACAACTTCAGTTTTTTTCTCCTTTTGGCTCCTTTTTTGACGCAGCTTACGAAACATTGTTGGTGATGAAGAATTACTCGAGCTAGAAGATTCAGCCGTTACATCTTTGCTGTTATGACGTGAGCTTCCCGGTGAGCTCTGAGGTGTAGTGAACGCTGACAAACTTGGAGCTCCAGGGCTGTTTCTTTTTACTTTCAAGGTCACAATTCCTCTGCGAAGATTCTAGGAACCAGGACAACAACAAAGATTACTACACTACATACAAATTTCACCAGGCATGCAGAACTTAGCAGATTGTTAACGCAAAATATCAGTCTTAAAACCTTCAAAATGATAACAATTCTCCAACAAATTTCAATTCTTCGCACTGTGAAATTGAAAACAATAAAAGTAAACATTTAATAAAATAATGCTTAACATTTTCAGAAATTACTACAAGGATTTTGAACTGTGACTGTTTATGAATTGATTAGTTTTTCTGGTTTGAACATTTGTAATAACAGTTATCAGTTTGTTTGCTTTGGATAAGGCTCTTGATCAGTAACACACAAGGCAGGTGACAGAGGTAGCTGTTTAATATTTAATAATGAATTGTAGCATTTGTAAACCANTACATTTCAAACATCAACAGGCTGTTGTGTTTCAACTACTATCAATTATTATGATTATTCATTACATGTACAATGTGTTGTATCCATATTCCTTTTACCAAAGATTTGTGTTTTGGTTTGTGCCCCCCACGCCAACAACACCACTAAAAAAATTCCAGTTTAACTTTATACTTTCCTTTAAATGATTTTGCTTTGAAGACCCCCCCCAACCCCTCTGCCTTGGAATTTCCATTTGACTTTCCATGGTCTGAATGTTTTCTGGAACCGTGCAATTACGATGGCACATAGGTCAACTCTTATTATAACTGATTGGGTTAACATGTATCATATAGGCCCCAGTTGTTCAAAGGGCATAAAATGCTACCCTGCAGATAAATCACTACCCAGTGGATCGTGTGGTTTGTTTTGATAACATCCAATTGGATAGTGATATCCAGTGGATATTAGTATTATCCACCCTTTGAACAACTGGGGCCTGGTCAACATTTAGAGTTACCATTTTGTCCAAACATGATTGACCTTAATTAACTCAGAGAAGTTTCATCACAAACCTTACAAAATTCCTCTAAATTTTCCAAATTTATACTAAATAACAAAATTTTGCATGAAGTATTACCTTAAAGGTGTCCAGCGCTTCTTGATGCGTGAAGCCTTGAAAAGCTGTCCCATTTACTGACAGCACCTCATCTCCTGTAAATTGATGAGAAAATCTTTCAGTCTTAGTAGCAGGGTTTAGCCATAGAAATGATGCCACCATTTAATATTGTTAATGAAGATGTTAAGTACAGTGGAAACTAACCTGAATAGTCAAGTTCAAAATATTTTTAAGAATATAAATTCTCCTTAGGCTGATTGAGAATGTTTCTTCCATGTAAACTCTGAGAATTTAGTGTTACACCAAGAGAATATCTCCTAGCTGATGAATTTCTTTATTCTCAACACCTGTTCACTTGAGAATGCATTGATACTGTAAAGGGAAGTTGGATGTTGATCGCTTTTGGAGAATAAGAGGCTTGATGGAAACAGTGTCTCATACTATTGAGGTTGATAGTCAACTGATTATCCACAGCTTGTAACAATCAATAAGCACTGAATGATTTAGATCCCTACCTCGTTTCATTCTGCCATCCGCTTCTGCTGCACCGCCAGGAAGAATATTCTTGACATACACAGCCATATCACCATGAGGTGAGCCTTTTCCTCCAACAATAGTAAAGCCAAGACCTTTTCCGCTCATTCCTTTGACCAAGACTATGGTCACAATTTCCTCGTCCATTCCTTTACTAGCCCTCCTCAGAGTGTTCTCATAACTTCCTTTTCTTTTAGCTTGTGGCGAGTCTCGTTCATTACTTCCAACAAAATTCAGAGGTGTTGGTGAAGCTATCGTCATAACATTAGAAGGGGGCTTCCCAAGATAGCGTGCAGGGAAGACAATTCCCATGCCTCCTGGAGACTGAGGCCTTGGAAGGGAAGGTGAGATTTGACCAGGTTCCAAACTTGTTCTGCTGTTGGGTGGCTTTTCTTTTGATGTGTTCGACAAAACATTTGGTGAATTTCTTTTCCCTGTAGCATCGATAACTGGGGACAATGAAGTCTTACGAGGTGATGTATTTGTTGTTGAGCCTTTTGTTAGGGGTTTATCTTCTAAAGTCACTGGCTCACAATCTAGACTTTCATCTTCTTTTGATAACAAAATATCCCCAGAGTTTGACTTTGATGTCCCATCTGAACTCAAAGATGAACTACTTGAGGACCGATGCCTACCATTAGTCAAACTTGATATGCTTCCATCCACAGGAAAACCATTTTGTACCTTGAATGACCTCTCCATAAAGTCAGTTTGTTTATTGTGATTGTTATTCTTCTCCAATCTGTGATCAGTTGTTCTAGAATGACCATTTTCTATTGGTTCTTGTACATCAGAGTGGTTCAACCTTGTAGTTGCTTCTTCTACATGTTTATCGGTTAGAGAAATTTTCTTTTTGGTGTGATCCAAAGTCTTGCTTCTGCCTTTGTAACTTGTATTTAACACATTGTCTGCAGATGCAGCACGGGGAAGACTTCTTGTTCCCTGTTTCATAGCTTTTCTCTGCACATTTTCCTGTGACTCTGATCTACCTCTCAATGGGGTTTTCCTCTCTGCAGGAGATTCACTACCCTGTGTAACACAGCAGTGAAAGACATTAAGAAAATCTCCACAGTTGTTGAATTGAATTTGCGTGGAATTAAGTGGCCATGAGCACTTGTTATAACAACACTTAGAAAATTTTAAAATGTTCAAACTTGTATGGTAATGCTCAATTAGCCTTCATTTTTGTGGGGAAGGGGGAAGAGAGAGTCGTGGGGGAGGGGGAGACTATTAAAGGGCACATAATTCAAGGGTGAGTACTTAACTGCAACCTAAGATAATTAACAACTCTTATACGATAACCAACATATAGATGTTATGTCTGATATTAACCTGCGTGGAAATAACTAGTTGTATAAGCTTTGGTGATGCTCTCAGCAAGTCAACAGCCTCCTGTTGTGTGACACCTATTAGGCTATGACCATTGATCCACAAAAGTTCATCACCATCCTTAAGGCGACCATCCCTACACAACAGTGAATTCAAAATGGCTTTAATGAGATATGGCAATATTTTATTTAAATATTTTAAGTAATATCAAAGAATCAGTGAATATTTACATGTCACTTTAGTACAAAAGTCTAGCCCTTTTCAGCAAGAACTTAAGGGTTTATAGTTAGCCAGGTGAACATGGAACAGAGAGATCTTTACTAAGACCTGACTAAACTAAAACCTTTAAAATGGCCATCTCTACTTTGATTTTTTGCTTTGTGATATTGCATTGTGAACGTTTTGGTTACACTTTCCTAGTGTTCAATATTGTTTTTGTTTTGTTTGAGCACATATTGAATAGTGACTTAGAATCTGGAGTTTTTTGGTTAACGGGATACTATCAAACGTCTCCATTAGACTCCTCTAGCATGCTATAAAGACACTTCTATATTACAACAGTTCACTTGGTCCCAGAAGAGTCAAGGTTTATATAACCCTTACCCCAATAATATGGACACTCAGCTCTGGGCTTTGGTTATCTAGTATATACATGTACTATAATGCACTGTGGCTTTAGGGAACAAAATTTTGATTTGTCTTTAACTTTTGGAATATTCGTTTACAAGTGTTTTGACATATTGATTTGTCTCTAAAAATGCAATAATTTATATTAATGTCTAAAGAACATTGAATTGCTTGTCTCATCTGGGACGACAGGATATACATATAGCATTGCAAAATTTAAGACCAAGATTGACAACACCCTGTAAACATCACCAGAAAAATTATAAACATCATTAACCTTGCTGCAGCTCCTCCAGGGCTGACATCAGACACAAAAACACCTTTCTCTCCTGTAACACGGTTCAACTTCATTGATATTTGAACTCCAAGTCCACGGCTGTCTTTAAGGATGTGAATCTTTTTGACCATATTTTTCTGTAGAGAAACATGTTGCTTATTTTAAGGAGTTTTAGACAACAGAGAGCACAAGTACATTTATATGTGCGGCATTAACTTGTGACACCTATCCACAAGACAGTGCATCATACTTTAAGGAGAAAACCGATATTGATAAGTTAGCTATGCTGCATTATTTTTATTGCTTCAGTAACATTTCTAGTCAAATTTTGGCCTTGCCCAAAAAATGAGAACTAGTGGTCTGGCCTTTACAAGTATATTTCCTAATATTGATCAAAATCTTTCTTCTCCCAGCAAAATAAGTATATTCTCAAGAAGACAGGCGATAAAAAAAAACAAACTCATCAAGGTATTAGTGTATTTGGGTATTTGGGCATTAGGGCATTAGGGCATTAGGGTATTGGGGTATTAGGGTATTAGGTTATTAGGGTATGAAGGTATTAGGTTATTAGGGTATGAAGGTATTAGGTTCTTAGGATATCTAAGTATTAGGGTTCTAGGGAACTAGCTTATTAGGGTATTGGTGTATTGGTATATTGTGGTTTTAGGGTATTGGGGTTTTTTGGTAATGGAAAATTGGGATATGGAGGTTATGGAACATTAGGGTATTAGGATATCAGGGTATTAGAGTATTAGGGTGTTACGGTATTAGAGTAGTAGGGCATTAGGATATTAGGGTATTTGAATATTAGGGTATCAGGGTATTAGGGTATTAAGGAATCAGGGTATTAGGATATTAGGCTATTGGGGTATTAGGGTATTAGAGTATTAGTGTGATATGGTATTAGAATAGTAGGGCATTAGGATATCAGGGTATTAGAGTATAAGTGTGTTAGGGCATTAGAGTAGTAGGGTATTAGGATATCACGGTATTTAGATATTAGTGTATCAGGGTATTAGGTATTAGGGTATTAGAGCATAAGTGTGTTAGGGTGTTAGCATAGTAGGGCATTAGGATGTCAGGGTATTTGGATATTCGGGTATCAGGGTATTAGGGTATTAGAGTATTAGTGTGTTAGGGTATTAGCATAGTAGGGTATTAGGATATTAGGGTATTAGAGTATTAGGGTATTTAGGGTATCAGGGTATTATTGTATCAGGGTACCGGGGTATTAGGGTATTAGGTATTAGGGTACATACATACATACACACTTCATTTAGACATGGTAAAAACATCAGTTACAAGATTTAGATATATTGTATTATATGTTTGCCTGTGGGAGTACAAGGAGGACAGTTGGCAATTAAGTCCATAGTCTGTGCTGAGGGGTTTAAATAGGCCTTTCAGCTATTCCGGAGACTGATCATTCAAAGTTTTACACAATCTAGTGTATCGAGGAACTCGACTAAATATGGTCTCAAATCATGGAGATATTCTGCCCCAAAGAAATGGAACTAGCTAACAAATGATATTAGCACTAAAGTAGGCAGTAATGAAGTGAACAACAAAATTCAATCACTTAAGTTTGACTGATGTCGGAATTTATTGTGATTTGATTCTCTAGATTTTTAGTTCTCTGCATTTATAGGTCTTTATAGTTTTATACGATCAATTATTGTATATTTTTTGAGGATTTAATTCTTAGCATATACTAGGGCAATGAATTACCTGTAAACTAGCTGATTAGCTAAGTGTAACTATTGTATGGTATCAAATACAGTACCAACAAATTAGAACTCAGAACTAGCATTATGCAAAACAAACAGAAATCAGGAAGAATTAAAATTTCAATGCCAAGTTCATGAAGAGGAACTTGAGAGTCAAAACTCTCTTTATTCTCAATCAAGTTTAATTTGACACTTGAAGGTAAAATTATTTCAACAATCAGATGACAGATGCTCCTTCTCGTAGTCATTTTGTTTTGATTTCAGTTTGTAGAGTAATCCTGCAAAGCATGAACAGATCTACAGCAATAAATATGTGATGTTTTTCGTTAACTAGCAATGAAAGAATTTTAATCCAATTTTCATCACAAAAACTCGCACGTTTAGTACAACCTTTCTCATAGCTCAACTCAATAAGAAAAAATAAAATTACTTAGATTTAGAATGTTTTTCATGAGTACAGATCGTTAAATACAAAAAGTTAAGATTTACCGGTTTTGAAGCATCAGGAATTCTTTCAAGTGCAACTGTTGCAATCCCATTAGCTATCGGTGGAATATTGCTTTCCGTTAGGTTCCGGACGACTTTTATTTTTAATTTGCCACTTCGTAAAGCACTACCCAAGTACCACCTAATAAAATAAAACGTTGGAAATGTTCATACTCTAGGCACTTCAATTAATATTGGTCAATAAACATGGGCAAATATCAGATGATTTCAAATCCAAGATGTTTGGGAATATTGTTTGTAGACGGGTGGTGAAATATACAAACCGTAATAAACAGGTAAGAAATTGAAGCTAACTTAGACACTGACACCACATTCAAACACAATCGGGAATTTGTAAGAAGAATAGCAAATGATTAATTAATGAATCACTTCTTTTTCAGTTCTTATCAAGCTCTAAACGAAAATACAACGACATGCATTTTCGAAGTCGACATCACCATAACAAAACACTAAAGGAGATCTCAGTTAAAACGAAAACAAAGGTCACACAATACAGGCCAATACAAATGATGGAAACTTGTTAAAAATCTCCAAATTTCACCCAAACAACAAGTAAACCACAACCAATACAAATCTCTGTTAACAAGAATGAATAAATCATGTTGTGGAGAAAGAGTTTGCAAGATTCCACTCTGATAAACCTTGATTGTCGTAAATTACAGTTCCTTTAGATTCTAATTGAAACCCTGGGGAGAATCGTTTTATTTACGACGATATTTTAAGTACATCTTTGTGCAGGATCCAAACTGTGGGATTAATTCATTACGCTTTCCCATATAGAATATACCTGTTGCGGTTTTTCATAAGCTTTTATGAAGTGTATGTTTTTTACCTTGCTCGTTCAAGACTAGCCTTTGATAAATCGTGTCCATTAATTTCCAACACCCGATCTCCAACTGATAGCTTTCCATCGTCTTTAGCTCTGCTACCCGACAATAAATCCGCGATTCTGATATTTCCCAAAGCACTTCTTGCACGACTTGGGCTGCCAGAAGCTTTATTTTCGAGTACAACTCCAAAATTTCCCGTGCAATCTTCAAATTCGAACGAGATAATGTCGTCTGCATTAACGACATCTCTTCGAAGAGGAGTTCCATTTTCTGTAATCGAAGCTTTTTTTGCTCGCGGAGAGAACTCTCTTGAAGAAGAAACCTTACTTTCAGTCATGATGTTTATATTTCAATTGCTGGAAGAGTCTATCTTGTTATGATTCTGTTACGGACATTCCTCCAATACTTCCTGACTTCACAACGATCCGTATACGTTACCAAGTTCCCTTGGTTGTAGCTCGTTTGCCGCGCTATCCAAGAAGATCCGCGCAATAATAAACTTTTCACTCTTTCTCTTCACACTAGACATCTTCCAGCCAGCTATACGTTCTCCGACGAGTCTTAAACTTCATAATCGTCTAGAAAAATCGTATCTAACTATTCTTAGTGACTTCTGTATAATGTCTTTTGTAGTTCTACTTTTTGAATGCATCTGCATGTCATAAGCCATGACGTCATCGCTCCCATCCCACTCTACCCCCAATGCAATCTGAAACCCCACACTACGCTGGAGGAATTTGAAAACTGAGATTAATATTTGTGTCTGACAAAAACTCGGGCAGGAAAAATCACTTGATTATCGTGACGCTATCGTTGTTGAAAAGCTCCGTTTTTCAACATGTTTTCCGTGCACAAGAAAACGAAAAGCCGGCGTTTAAAAATTCCTCTGGTTTGAAGAGCGTATTCGAAAAGCTTCGTTTACGTGACGGAGTAGTGTGGACGGTAGGCCTAACCTTAAGGCCTGTTTACAAGGAGGGAGGATTACCCTAGCAAGCGGGTTAACCCTAGCTGAAGGGCAAAAGATAGCCCGGGTTTACAAGCAAAAATTCACAGGTAGGGTAACCCTACAACCCGGGACAACTTAAACGCGGTTACACTCAAAGGGCCTGGAAACAATTAGAAAGTTAACTCGGGTAGACGGGTTAACCCTACTTGGAGTGTTTACAAGGGAAAAAGTTAACCCGCCTGCCAAGGTAACTCTAGGCCAAGTTGCCTTGTAAACACGACAAAGAAAGAAAGAGGAAATGTGTGAATGCTAGGGTAACCCACTTGCTAGGGTAACCCCTCTCCTTGTTAACAGGCCCTTAGAAATAAAGCTGCGTTTTCAAATTCCTGTGTGAACGGGGCCTACATTGAGTGTCAGAAAGGTCTCCATTATCGACCCGTTACGTTTTACGGGGGTCAGGAGTTTAAAAAGGGAGAGTCAGTGAGGGGAGGGGCTTAAACAGGGGGATAAACTAAAGGAAGCAATGTACAGCTGAATGAAAAATAGCCTGTTAGTAAAAGGAAATGCTCGGTGCATNGAGTTTAAAAAGGGAGAGTCAGTGAGGGGAGGGGCTTAAACAGGGGGATAAACTAAAGGAAGCAATGGACAGCTGAATGAAAAATAGCCTGTTAGTAAAAGGAGATGCTCGGTGCATGACCTAAAGAAGGGGGTTTTGCACCACGGAGTTATTCATTTTCTTTGTATTCAAAGAAATAAAAATAGACATAACCGGGCAGGTAAAAGTTTAAAACTTTCTTTTACTTCTAAAACTGCCTATAAAAACCTGCTAACGACTTACGAGTCACTTAACAACGGTATCAAATTGACTCGTTTTGCTTTCGAGGTGCGTCAGAAGTTTGAAGCCGTTCCGCGTGATCAGAAATTGTTCCCGAACACGTCAGACACGCAGTGGAGATATAATAAACATCTTACTAATAACCTCGTTTTCTCGGTCCGTACTGTAAGTTACGGATCCTCCTTTTCCCCCTTTGATTTATGTCCCGCACCCGGGCCTTAAATCGATGGGGGAAAAAACTCGGTCCGTAACTTACAGTACGGCCCTGGAACTCACTTAGCAAAAGGTATGTACACAACATGGGAATCTGACGGAAATTTAGCAAGATCACAAAAGCCGAACGCTGGTCGCTTTTTTCGATACCAAAAATGACCGCTTAATGGAGGCTTGATTGTACCGGGTTAACACACTTTAATCCATGATCAACTGTTAGTAACCTAACACTATCCATGTTTCCCTTAGGCACTGTCGCACGTACTTCCACACTTTTGCAAAATAAAAGCCGATTACCAATGTGTCTGACAGACTGACCACAAAGACAACACAACAAACCATTTTCTTTCCAAGTTTCTAAATTTTATTTTACAGCTCTGAAAGCAGGGTTTATTCCCTGGATTTCATCTTTTCACGTGCCATCTTCTTCTTGGAAACCTTCTTAACTTCCACCTCATCCTNTGCTAACGACTTACGAGTCACTTAACAACGGTATCAAATTGACTCGTTTTGCTTTCGAGGTGCGTCAGAAATTTGAAGCCGTTCCGCGTGATTAGAAATTGTTCCCGAACACGTCAGACACGCAGTGGAGATATAAGAAACATCTTACTAATAACCTCGTTTTCTCGGTCCGTACTGTAAGTTACTGATCCTCGTTTTTCCCCTTTGATTTATGTCCCGCGCCCGGGCCTTAAATCGACGGGGAGAAAAACTCGGTCCGTAACTTACAGTACGGCCTGGAACTCGGTTAGCAAAAGGTATGTACACAACATGGGAATCTGACAGAAATTTAGCGAGATCACAAAAGCCGAACGCTGGTCGCTTTTCTCGATACCAAAAATGACCGCTTAATAGAGGCTTGACTGTACTTTAATCCATGATCCATGATCCATGATCCATGATCAACTGTTAGTAACCTAACACTATCAATGTTTCCCTTAGGCACTGTCGCACATACTTCCACACTTTTGCAAAATAAAAGCCGATTACCAATGTGTCTGACAGAGACTGACCACAAAGACAACACAACAAACCGTTTTCTTTCCAAGTTTCTAAATTTTATTTTACAGCTCTGAAAGCAGGGTTTATTCCCTGGATTTCATCTT